GATTAATTGAGAACATGCTTTATATATTTATATATTGATAAAATATTTTTAAATATTATTAATAAATTTTAGAAAATATAAGATAAAATATTATAATTTTATTCAAAATTCATTCAAAAAATATAAAATAAAATATAAGATAAAATTTTATTAAAACATATTATATAAAACATATAATTACAGTTTTTGATTTTAGAATCAAGATTATTAAAAATTTTTAATATTTTTTATTTTTTTAGAAAAATTGATGAAAGGATGTTAAAATTTTGATAATAAAATTGATTAACAAAATATTATAAACAAATATATCAATAATGTTTCATTTTCTAATCTTATTTCCAAGATAAAATTTAAATATGCATAATCATGAAAAACTTTATTTTTGTCAATTCTGTATAATTCGAAATAGTTTTAAATTTTTGTTTTATAATTTTTAAAAATTATAGATAATGATTAAAAGATATTTAATAACATCCTAAACATATTTATAGCATCCTAATGTAATTAATAATGATTAATATAAGTTAAATAATTCGAAGAGGGATAGTAATAATTAATTATGAAATTTAAAATAATTATACTGAAACATTTATTCTATTTTAATAATTAAAGATTGTAAAATTCATGATATTTATGAAAAATATTAAATTTTTATTAAAAGTGATATTATAAGATATTTTCTAATTCAATCAAATATATTTCAAAACTATGTAATATTTTATTCGAATTCCACATATATTCCTTTCCATAAGTTATTAGATACTTAACAATAGAATATTATTTATTTATAAATAAATAAACATTATAAATATAATACAATATTATTAGTTAACTTTATTTCATTAAGTATGAATTACAACATGGATTATTGAAAGAAAGAATAAATAAAATAATAATACAATATTAATAAAATAAAAAATACATTAAAATAATAAATAGCTTATTACTGCATATTATTTTTTAATTTATCATAGAATTATAAATATCGATTTTCATTTTTTCAAGTTTTATAAAATTCTACGATTTATAATTACGTCGAAAAAACAAATCATTATGAAAAAGATATTAAACAAGTATTTTATAACAGCAATATTAAATAAGAAAAAATTCACAAAAATTCACAATGTTAACCATTAATAAATTAATAAGCATATGTATATTTAAAATTAACAAGTACATGCATATATTTAAATTTCTTTCATATGACATTACGAGTTTTGTTCATACTTGTATGATAAATATCGAATTATTGAAAAAATTGAATTGCTCAAACGATCATGTGAAAGAGTCAAGTTTATATATACGATTCATATCTATGTTTCAAGTATTAAACGATATTTATATCGTTAAGTAAAAAAGATTTTAGAAACCATTTTCCAATGCGCCACACTCTAACGAGAGGAGAATAACGCTCTAATACCTGCGATGCTCCGTTATATGAAATTGTACACGTCGGAAAATAAACAATCCCAAAAATAGATCGTTGCTAGGATTTTTCTACGAATCTAGAAAAAATTACCACCCAGCCAACCTTTTTTCTCTTCCTTCCATTTCATCTCGATCGCTCATTCGTGAGCTTATTTTTCAAGGTGCTAGGTCGTTATAGCCGTGTAATTACGGATCGATAGGATAGCGAAATTGATCCTCCGCGAACCTGCGCGAAATTGCAGGGTTGAAACGGAAAGCGAGACGAGAGAACGTATTTCTCCTCGTGTCGGTGAGCTGTCGACAGGAGGTGTGGTGGTTAGTTTAAGAGAATACTTTTATCGCGATTAATGACGTACGATCCTCGTTCCATCGTTGGATGCTCTCTTCACGCCCCCGAACATTCGCAGATACCGAGCGAAAATTCAATTAATCTGTCACGTGCGAATACGAGTAATCCTTTCCCGTGTCTTTTTAATTAATTCCCCCCACCTCGAAGGTGTGCGAAAAACGAAGGAAACTAGTAACGAGAGAATTATTTACTGCCTCTATCGGGTTGCGCACAAACTATGGCTGAATGAGTCGTTCATTTTGTGCGATGAGACGAGAGATTGAGTCTATGGGTGGGAGAAAGATTTGAGTAAAATAGTGATTATGAGAGAAATAAGTGGTGGAGGATTGTATGAATTTTTTAAAGAATCATGATTTATAAAATTATTTTGAATGAAAAAAATAATTACTTAAATATATTATGTAAGATTGAACACTTTTTATTTGAAATCAAGTAATTACTTGTACAAGAAATAAATTTTTTTGAGATTTGCAAAAGGAGGATTTTTAAGGAAATTACAATTTGAATGAAATTTTTATGAAAGTTCTATTCACGTCTAAATCAGGATTGAGCATTCTTTATTTTAAATAAAAGAAATACAATGGAAGTTAAGTAAACAAATACAATAGGAAATAAATTTATTTTAGATAAAAATGAATGTAAATCAAAAATTCTAAATTTGAAAAATAATAATTATTTTTAAAAATTTTGTTTATGAATTATCAATTTGATTAATTATAATAGATTAATAAAAACAAATAATAAAGATTGAAAAGATAACAAATAAAATATATAAAAAATATAGATTTTAGATCGAGAAATAATATGAAATAAAATATACTTAGATCTAAATAAAGGAAAATTTCGTATTATAAGAGAAAAATATCTTTATTTGGCAACAAAATTAATAATAAATATTTAATATCAAATTAAATATCAAATAAAATTAAATAAATTATTTAACTATTTATAAAAATAATTTTAAACATATTATTATTTAAATAAAATAAAATAGATAGTTAATTGGTAATAAAATAATTGGTAAATAAAAAATAAAAAATAAATATTTGAATAATAATTATATGAATAAGATAATTTTATTGTCCAAACTTAATTTTACTTATTTCATAAATTAAAGAGTATCTTACTCAGGCTTTTAAGCATAGAAAATTTTTAAAACAATTGACAATATTGATATGAATTCAAAATTGTGAGAAATGAGAAATTATTAGAAAACTAATAAATATGAAAATTTGAAGAATATACATAAAATTGAATAGAAAATCTAAAATTTTCCATTAAAGTGATTGTTGATAAATAATGTAGTATAAAAGAGCATGCTAAGAAACGGGTAACTTTCTAATAATTGAGATACACTTGTCAAATTTATCGATGTCAATTAACCAGTTTAGACAGGAAAAGTATGTTAAATATTGACATAAGTACATTGCGACAAGCATTTTTTTAGTCACATTTTAATAAAGTGTATTGATTTTAACGTTTATAGTAGATTTCTCACAAATTCATTTTCTTTATTGTAATATATTAATTTGACGAAACAATTATATAATATTATAATGGATTAATAATGATAATAATATTCAATAATAAAAATTTTAATTTTTTAATAATATTTTTAATATATTTATTATTTTTTAAGAATTTTGAAAATATTAATATAATTTTAAACAGCAACATGAATTCTTCCATTTGATATTACATAATTAAGAAAAATTAAGTAAATAAAACATATATTACATAATTCAAATGCACTAATTTTCAAGATATCAGATTGAAAGTTTTATAATATTTAGCGGTTTGAAAATTACCATGATGAAGTTTTTCATTCCTATGAAGTTGAAAAGCTTTTGCAAAAAAAAAAAAAACTTGCAAAGATATGATATGAATAAACAGAGAAATTGCGCGATGATTAATTGCTTTTCACTTATATAAACCTGTTTTCGTTAAAATTAAGAAACGAGCAGAACTTTCATTCAGCCTGATAACGACAAGAACTCTAACTAAAATATATTTAAATTACTCTGAAATTGTGTCACCTCCGATTTTATTAAGCCAAAAGAAAAGAAAGAAAAAGAAAATAAAAATGAAGAGAAAATAAATTCAGAATGTTTTAATTTATTAAAAAATAAGAATTTATTTGAATTATTGCTTTTATAAATAAATAATCTATTAATTATTTATTTAATTTATTATTAGTAATTTAAATCTAAGTATAAAATGCAAAAAGCTTAATTAATATTTTTGTGTCATAAATGACTGTAATACTTTAAATTAAATTTGAATTATAAATTTCTTGAATTTTAGATAATTTTTTCTCATAGATCTACATAATTTGAGTTAGATTTGAACTAAGTTTATTTTTATTTTAATTTTTATTCTAAAAATATCAAGAATTCTGACGCATAAAAACATTTGTAAATAATTGCACACTATTTAATTGCGATTATAGTATTTTAGAATTATTTTTATTAGAAAAATTAAAAAAAATACATTATGTATATTGTATATTATGTACAAATTGCATAAATTTTTTAGAAAAAATATGATATAAACAAAAGAACAATTTATTATGATAAGAAGAAAAATAAAACAGCAAAATTAGAATAGATAAATAATAAAATTAAGAATAGATAGTAAATTATTATATTTAAAAAAATTTATTTTGTTAATTACAATTATGCAATAAAGTAAAATTTACAAATTTTATAATTTAAACATTATAAAAAATACAATTTAAGCTATTAAAAGTTATTTATTAAAATACAAGAGATAATAATCAATAATAATAGATAAATTACAGAAATCTAACTAAATAATACAAAATAATAAATATAAATAAATATACAATATAATAATAAAAAATTAATAATAATTTTATTATTTCTTTTAATTAAGAACAAATTATAAGAACAAGAATAATTGAAAAATAAAAAAAATTATCAAAAATTGTAATTATACTTTTGTACAATTGTATTGTATTGCGTAACTAATTATAATATTATATATTTTTTTATGTTTTTCGATTATTCAATATTTTAATTATAATTAATCAATTAAAGGATTAATTAATTATCATGAATAATAACGTATTATTATAGCATATAATGTTCAACTTTCACTTAGAAAAAAATCATATCATCATGTGCGATCATAATTTTAATTGCCTCGATATTTATCTCTTTAAAAATATTTCACACGTTTAACATCTTGTTTTTTCTTTCAGCCGTGGTAGTACGCTATTTGACGAGGCGATATATTGGCGAATACAGCTCAACCAGTGGTAAGTCGCTCTTTTTTTCGTTTCTTTTATATTCTTTAATTCTTTCGTAACCGTTTACACCATTCTTGCTACGCGTTACTCGAAAATCAAACCTTTTCTCTCGTTACTTTCATCTTGGCCATAGTTCTCAATATTTTTCATCATGGTATAAGCGAATATAACTTATTTGGACAGCTTTTTTTTTTATTCTTTCTACGATCAACTGATTATTTTATTATACTAAGCCACTTTATATTTTTAATCTGCTATATTTTACAATCGAAAAGGTTTTATTTTTATCTTAGTAATATAGAATTATGTTTTAATGGCATAAAATAGACTAGTTTTTTCTTAATAAAAATGGTTAAAGATTTAAATATTAATTGATTAAATTTTATGTTAGGATAATTATTTATAAAAAAAAGTTTCAATTTTGCTAAATTTTGAATATATTGAAGTAGAGAAAACTATGTAATCTTGAGTAACTTATACAAATCCTGTTTTCTACAAGCATAATGGCCGATATAATATGCCCAAAATATATACTTAACGAATGAATTATATGAGATTAATATAAAACTATCGTTATAATTTCGGTAATTTTGATCATTGCTACTTTAATTGCTTAACGATATTGTTTTATATATTATTTTCGAATTCCATGGATTCTTTGGATGATCCCAAATCAGATTTGCCAGATGATAGCCAATATGCTATTCTCTTGTGCTATTAAAAATATCTCCCTAATATGAAAAATAATTTCTTTATAAGTGATATCATATTATCTCCATTATGACTACTGGATAGATCAAAGCCAAACATCGCATTGTGTCACGTAATTTTAACGTTGTGACGTAATTTTGTTTAATCCAGCAGTAGCAATGAGAATAATATGACATCATATATTCTCATGCAGAAATTCGAAATGTCGAAAGAAAATTGAACTGCATTTAATAATAGAGAAAGTGAAATTCATGTCCAATAATTTTATTCTTTATGGATTAATAATATTAATTCATCGATTATTTATCGATTATTTTTTGGATATCGATATGTATTTATAAAATAATAAACTTATAATTAAATGGACGGTTTCATACTGACACATGTTATGAATGCACAACGGCTATAGAACATTCAATATATAAAAATAAAAGATTTTTATTAATATTTGAGAAATCAATATTTGCAATATTTGCTCTTAAAATCTAATAATAATGAATTATATTTTATTTTTTTTTTTAACAATGATAGATTTTTGATAATGATAGTTTTAAAACTATATGTGACATGTAATATAATTATTTTTAAAGCTATTACCCGAGAAGTATTAAATTATTCAATCTAGTCTCAAATTCATTATCATAATTAATTTTGTAAAAAAACATATATTTTTAATTGTTTTTAATATTTGATACAAAAAAAATTCAACATTTTTTAATTTCTAAAATTACTTAATTGATCTAATTAAAAATTCTTAATATGTTTAAAAAATTCTTGAATATCGTTGTTTATTTTCGAATTCAAAATATCAATTGCTACAGTTATCTGTAATGAATCCAATGGATTATCTTTGACTTCTTAGAACTTCTTATATCTTCCAAATTATTTTGATCTGTAATATTCAATGGATTATTTTTCATTCAATATAAATAATAATCAAAAAGTATATATTCCAAAACAATTTAGACAAATTTTAAATCTGTATTAATTATTTATATTAATTTTTTTTATTAATTATTATTTATGTTATACATCGTTCATTTGTTTCCATAATTTAAAATTTTTAATTTTTCGATAATTTAATTTACAGCGATATATGAAAAGAAAAGCAAACTATACATGAAAATTTTTTTTAAAAATTTCATTAAAAAAAACATTATATTTACATTAATTGTTGGTATATTGAAAAAAAAATTTTAGAAAAATATTCTTGTATAATTATCTTAATTAATTAAAAACGATTTATCGAAAAAAGTCTGTGGATCTATAAACTCTTTTTTTTAGAAACATTTAATTTTAAGAAATTAGAATTAAACAAAATTAAAAAAAATATTGTTATTAACTACTGTTATTATCATTAACTATATATAAGGCTTACAATGTGTCATCTTTCAAAAATTCTCGAGGAATTATGACAATATGATTAAAAGAGATTACACATGATTTCTTTTCACGATTGTGAGGGGGCGATCATCGGCCGACCGCGAGTACAAATTGAACGATCGTGAAAACGGGCCCTGAGAGCGTGCAACAACTTCTTCCCCGTAGAGTATCGAATTCTCGGAATGCGGACCATCGTATAAACGTGATTATCTAGACTCCTTTTACTGCGAGTTCCAGTTCCCCTTTAAGCTATGCATACCGAGAGTCGTGGCGAGCAACGACAAGATTTTCAACAAGATTTGCCTTCTCGCATTTTTACTCTCGTATTTCTCTTCGTTTTTGCCTGGCTCGTTCTTCTTTAGTATATCTCCAGGGTTGATTTTATGAATATACGAAAGGCGAAGGTTATAAGTTAGTGGAATGTGAATTTTACAATTTGTTTTAATATTTTGGAATAATTATGATATTATAATATTATTATTATACAATATTGAATGAAAACGTTGAATTTTTTTACCGTTTCTTTCTTTTTTTGAAGATAAATGACACTCAATAAAAATGAATTTCGATTATAGAAATATATGATATCATAATAATGATAAAACGTATGTATAATATGTATTATACGTATTTTAGAATGAATTATAATGTACCATAAATATATCAAAAAAAAACGTTTGGTAACGTTTTTGTTGAAGATGAATGACATATGTATTCAATAAATAGACTCTAATTATAAGATATGACATCATAATGATGACAGAAAATTAATATTTCCAGGATTAATTGGTACCAAACATCTTTGTAAGTTATATTTTGTTTACAATTTGTTTTTTTTTATATTTTATAATAGATAGATTATATTATAGATTATAATAAATGAAAAATATCGAAAAATTTGTATTTTCGTTAAAGATGAATGATATTCAATAAATGGATTTTCGTCATATATTTCGTCATATAGTTTATATTAGTTATATGATACTATAATAATAACAAAAAACTAATAATATTTTCAGACTAAAAAAATATAAAAGATTTGTAAAATCGTAGAATGAGCGTTTTAAATTTGATAATTAAATTCTGAAATTCTAATTTTTGATATTTTTGATGATGAAATGATTTATTTATAATGAATTGAAAGATGTATTAAAAATAATATGTATTTTTAATTCTTTGATAAATATTACTGAATGCATTGACGGAAAGCAGTATATAAAATTGTGTTATAAAGTTGAATGGTATTATAATGATAATACCACAGAGAGATAATTTCATTCAATATAAGAGCAATTACTATATAACGTAAAATATATATAATTTAGTTAATAAGAAATTTATAAAAAAAAAATAAAAAGAGAGACGAGAATATATTGATATGAAATCGTTTATAAATTTATGAATTTTTTTTTATAGAAATTAAGAATCTCAGACATATAATTACAAATCGAAATAATTATTCATAATTAGATACTTTGCGAAGTTATATTACATGTGTATATTGTTAAAAAATATTCTCAAGAGATTAAATTTTCTAGCAGAAAGCTAACAAAATATTGATTGTAGTCTTCAATATCTTCAATAAAATTTTACATCCAATTTAAGTTGTTTTAAACAATTTAAAATTTTTAAAAATTTAATCCAAACAAAGATATCAGATTAAATAGTGTTCTAAAATAATATTTAGATAATTTAAAAAATGTTGATTTCAAAATACTGTATATGTTAAATGAAATATTCAAACTGAATTATCTTGCGTAATAAGCACAAAATCAAAATCTTTCATTTATCATCTTTCAAATTATGGTTCAGAAACTTCTAACAAATCGCTCATAGGCAAGAACGTTATCCGCATCGCGCATTATTTCAGCGCGAATCTCGCCAATGCGATAAAGAATTTAATTTCTCCGTGGCGGCGCGCTGCCTGGTGTCATTCACATCTCCAGACAGCACAATGGTCTATTTAATAGATCGCTTTTGTTAATCGCGCTACTAGAGGCGTGCCGCCATTATGGTACCGCGAAAACAACGCGTATGGGACCATGTAGCGCTTTGTATTGCGCTTATTATCAAGCGTTTGTACATGTTGAACGAGCTATAATTGACCTTTGAGCACAGTACGATTTTAATTAAAGATATTCTTAAAAATAATCGATCGCTACGATCAGTACAATTAACGATACAGTAAATCGAAGAAAAATACATTTTGAATTTATAACAATATTCAAACATATTATGTTATAAATTTGTTATTTAATTAAAACAAACATTTTTTTATAGTATGAATATTTCAATAAAATAAATATAATATAAATAAAATTGGCGAAAAACTTTAATGCAGAGAAATGAAATAGAGAAATAAAAAATATAAAATTTAATAAAAGAATAAAAAAACTTGTTCATTAATAATTTTTAATGTTTAAAACTATTTAAAACATAATATTTATCAAAAAGAATGTTAAATCAAATGTTTTCTTTTTTTTATAAAAAAGATTATTAGTCATTAGTAGTTGTTTATTTTGGATTTATAAAGATAAAACGAATGATATAAAAAGGTAAAACGTAAATATAATGATATTTTTTAAAAATTTTCTATTATTGATCGTTCATTTGAGAATAAGCTGAAAATTCTATTTTCTGAATTATTATATATTTTTATGTAATATTTATCTTATATTGAATTAATTCTTCACTATAAAAAAATCTGTTTATATATTTAACAATCATTAGATGACTATATGTATATAGTCATTTATATAAAAGATGCAATATAGATATAATGTGAAAAAATATAAATATAAAAAATATATATTTGCATAAAAATTTGCAATTTAGCAATAATATATAGCATACAAAAGAAGGTATTTTATAATAATTAATATTAATATAAGATATTATTCCCAAACTTGTGTTAG